TCTGAGATAACCGTCTTAGCCTTTTTGGGAGCTGCTTTCTTGGTTCCGAATCCAAACCGGGCAGTGAACCGGCTTGAACCGGAGTGAATGTCGGGAACCACCCGAGTACCCATGATTGAGGAAGCAGCTGCGGCGGTTGAAGTGGCGGCCATCTCTCCGGCGTTGTTTGTGTTTGTCGCGTTTGCGGTGTATGTTTTTTTCTGTAAAAGATATGAAGGAAATGGCGATTTTAAGTTGCGGTTATTGTGTGGGAGAGATTGAAACTTGGAGATCTCAAGGAAAGATTATTGACCGTTGGATTAAGAAACAAATCCATCTGACGGTGTGAAATACGATCGGCCTTATCTATTGAAAGTTCGTGTTATCCTAGAATCTTTGGAGTTTAGATGAGCTAGAAGCTGATTGGGCAAAAGAAGCTCATGGCGAATCTTTGTACAGTAAAGCCACTTGTCACTTCGGCAGCAAATGACCAATTTTCACAAACCCGGTTCGATAAACTCAGTACAAACCGGACACATTTGTTCACAAATCTTAACCGAATCCAAATTATTTTTCGGTTACAATTCTCTCTAACCACAAGGAAGTCTGTCTCTGGCAAAGCCTGAAGAGTAACATCTTGTGAAATCCGAAGAACGGTTCTCATTAAAAAAAAAATGTTACATAATCTCGTATCCGAAACAGTACAATAAACCAAGACAGGAACGGCATCTAACTGTTGCACAACCAAACAGTAAATACACAAGAAAAATAGTAATACATTCAGTTAAAAAGAAAAAGAAACCTCAGGAGTGACAGAGTCTCCAGATACTTCCGCTATCGATGATCCAGAAACAAGTTGGACACTTTGTCAAAGCACTCAATCAGATTCCCGGTGAAGGCAACACCAAAGGACCGATATAAGAAACAGAGCAAATAATTTACATTAAGAAGAGAGCTGGAAACGGCCACTGGGTTTTTTTCTTCTCCATCCCTACCAAAACACCCCCCAAAGAACATATGATTCTTCAGCCATTTATACAGAAGACAAAAACTAGGGAGTAACATGAAAGATGAAATAGGACTTACAAAGGCAATGTAATATAGAAAGGTCAGTCCAGCTAGGATAACAAACCCGATTTGGAACACGTTGTACCTGAGATATACCACATCGATTGCTCAATACGAGTGAGACAGATATAGCATAAAAACTGATACATGCTAAACCACTACTACTTACTTGTAGAGGTACTTAATTCCTCTAAGGGACTGCAATGTGTGACCGAAGATCTCTTGAGCAGCAGTGGCTTGAGCATAATATCCAAAAGCAGTGGCACAGAATTGAATCACACTGCAATTTGAATGAACTTCAGTTACTCAGATTGTGAGGATTAACATGCAATTGTGCTGGATACTACTAAATAAGACTAAGTTTAAAGTCCCAGACAGAACAAGGGATATAAGATTCAGGCATTCACCCTTTAGAGGTAATCAGATTTAGTGATGGCATGACAACACTGATTACTAGTGTATAAACGTAAACACACTAGATGAAGACCCATTTATCAATCGGAGTGTAGGCAGAAAAAGAAGATATGAAAGAGACCCACCTGATGGAAGAAAGAAGAATGAGGCCGACATTGAAGAGGAAAGAGTTCATCAGAGTAGCTCCCCATCTGAAAACAAGTTGATATGGCTAATCAGAAATCAAAGGAAAGGGAATTAATTTGGAAAATAGCCAAACACTGTTAAACCATTAGATGGATTACTTCATCGGATGAATGGTAATGAAGACCAGCTTCAAACCCAGCATCATTGCCCCAGCGATAACAGCAAGTAGAAGGTAGAAACAGAAGAAAGCAAAGGCAGCAGTGCCTAGAAGACCTGGAGAATTCCACACACATACAAGGATGGAGTCAGTCAGACACATAAAATACCTTATAGAGGATATCATAACAAGAACAGAAGTATGAACTTACCCCAAACGTCATCAAGCTTAATAAAAACCTCGTTAAGAAAAGGGGAGAGAGGAGGGTCGACTAGTAGATATATGATGATGTGTGCAACCCAAGCAATAGAAACGATCAATCTACAAAGACATAAAATATTTCCATTAAAAAGGAGGCTTAGCTAGGGATCTTGAGTGCAAACCTAAATATGCCAGACCTCTATGTATGATTATATAACATTTTTTCATAAAATACTAACCCCAAGATTCCAAGAATAAACTTGGCCAAGTATCCGAGCACAGTAAAAGCCCATGCAGTTTCCGCCTGACAATAACACAAGGCAAATGAATAGTTGAATAACTTCAAAGAGTATGGATAAGGTTCTAAAATACTCTCCTCTTACCTTCTCTCCTTGAGGATACATCTCTTCTAAGAGGTTCACATCTTCCTCCAATTGGAGCAACTCCTGCAGAATAACCACATTCAGTTATAGTATTAAGGGGGCATTAAGAACCTAAAGTCCAAAATCAAGCACGGTAAAGCTGCCAATAAAGCCAGTGACTCTATATCAAAACCAATTCTACTCTCTCAGTAGCTTTTCACTAAAAGTTGCATCACTGCACATACGACCAAAGCTTTTTTACACGCCAGGACTAGTATCAATAGGCAAATTTTCCAAGTTTCTAGTTATGAAACAAAATTCAGATATGATTTCGGAGCTTCACATAAATGATGTACCTTTTCAACTGCTTTCACATTTTTCCTCCATTTCCTTCCCTTAGCACCACTTCTTTCTTCCTGATGAAGTCCATCAGCTGCTTTCTTTAGTTCTCTTGCCTTTTTACCTAGTTCGGTTGCTTCCTGAAAAGAATTATGGTGTTACCATGCAAGTCATTAAGTGACAGTGGAAATGACTCGAGATCTAGAAAACATGTTTACTGAGAAGAACAATAACCAAACCTTTATATATTGTGACCGAGTGATAACAGCCTTCGGTCGCTTGATGAATGCAGTGATAAGTCCCAATGGTAGGCAGGCAATACCCACACCACCAAATATCTAGAAACATTTGAGAGGACAATCAGTTATCAGATTTTAATATGGAAATCTAAAAATCAAACACCTATAGACTACAGAGGATACAGAATAAGATCTTGACATGCATCTCATTTGTTGAGAGCTTGTGTTAGTCAATAAATTAAGACAGGGTATATCCTTTCCAAGCATACAAAGTACTTCTCAACATGATAGAACAATGCTCATACCGTGAAAAGAACAGACCCAACAATTGTAGCAAGAGCAACAACGTATTCTGGAAATGTAGTACGCATGGTCCATGTTTTCTCAGATGTGACATTAGCTGTAAATGCTGAGCACTGCATCGGTTAATCAGAGACAGAAAACATATGTTACGTGGTGACACTCTTTATGGCATAATAATACCAATGCTGAACATAAGAAGCAAATATTACCTGGCGAGCAGTGTTACCGATACATGGTTGATTATTTGAAAATTGCCAGGTAGTAGGGAAAGTGGTAGTGGCCGAAGCCAAGTGCCTGACAGAAAAGTCCACCTTTCCAATGACACCTAACATAATGTAAAAGAGCATAAGAAAAAGAAATCCAAGGAATGTAAAATTTAACGCAACCGTGAATGACTCATTGTAAATTTCAATAACTCTGAGGGTTTATAACTTCTGTAGGTAAGATAAAGGTGTTAGCAACAATTCTAAGCTATTCCTAGCGCAAAGATGATAACATATCTCGACGCAGCCCTAATTAAGTAATTTATCAGCTGAAATTAACAACTAGGTTCAAATAAGACCAACACCTGATGATTGTTCATGCTACATGCTCACTAAGGGTTTCAATTACCACTCCCAACTTTCGTCAATCCAAGAAGACACTGAAGTTCAAGTCAACAAAAGCATTGAAAACAGAGGAGAAACTAACCATATAAAATTCCAAGCACCAGAGCACAAACCACAGCCGTTGTTACAACCCAAATTAAGGCACTTTTTATCCTCTTTCCCAGAGTTCTGCACACACACACAAAAAAGAGCAAAACCCACAAAACTGTCAACAAAATTCGATTAACAAACAAATTACAATGTACAAAAAAATCTGATACAATTCATCGAGATACGAACTTATCCTGGTCGCCTTCATAGAAAAACATTGCAAAGGGGATGACAAAGAAGACGAGAATAGCGTCCACGATGTAAATGGCAAGCCAAAGATCCTTCATGGGCAAAGTGAGATTACAAGCACCATTGTATATAGCATGTCTACAAGCATGCCGATTTGCCACATCCGCCGGTAACATGAGAATCGAGATCATTGCAATAGACAAACCAAAAACAACGACGAATTTGGGGAAATACGCCTGGTTTGCATCATCTGGATGCTGGTAGTTGACGAGAAGATAGATGCTTGAAATGAAGACGATGACGCAAACAACGATCGCGACAATCACGAGAGCGAGGTTGAAATCGCCCATCGTGGACAATATCCAAGGTACCCAATTCGAGAGATTCCGATTCCGGCGACGATTTGAAGATGCAGCGAAACCTAAATTGAAAAGCTAAGGTTTTTTCTTCTTTCTGGAGTTCAAAATTTGAAATTGAATTTGGGGATTTTAGTAGATCTGGGCTTTCTTATTTTTTCCCTCTCGAAAAAAAGAAAAGAAAAAACAGGCAGAGGAAGGAGAAAGAGGACTAGGTGGGGATGAACGTACTTGTAAATGACATTCTTGTCCTCATCTATGTGGTGTATTTACGTGGAAATACTTGCTCCAGTGCCAGATAGCTCTGGGGTATAAACGTAAATGTGTATTAGCTGTCCGAAACAAATCATTCGGGACATGATTTTCAACTTAAGAAAGAAATCTGCAGCTAAACCGGACACATTTTAAAGGGATAATTGTTATTAAGTCCCTAACTTAGTCATTTGTTTCTGCTAAACCCAACTTGTTTCATTTGAAAAACTCTAACCCATGTAAACCAATTGAATTGAACAGAACAAAAAATAAATCCAAATATCATTCTTCTTAACAAGCAAATCCAAATATAAAATTTAACGACTCTCTTTCTCTTTGCCAAAACTCTGCAACAGTACAAGTAATTTAAGTAAATAATATGATGCTCCTCCGATCGTCGCGAACCGAAGTTCTTCTGTCCCTTCAATCTCTGGAAAATCTCCTTCGGTTGCTCGGTTAAACCCTCCGGTTAACCATCCTAAGGTTTTGTACCCTTCTCCATACAGCTTTGATATAGCCATCAACGACCTGATAATATTGATTAGAGAAAAACCATTTTTTATCAACTAAAATTTGATTGGTTTCAATTTGGTTAATTTTTAGGGCTCCTAAACTAAAATATGCTCATTTACAAGTGTCTCTTCTAATGACCATTTCGAAACTGTCCTTAGTTTGATAAATTTATCTCAAATCTTAGACTAAACCGAAGTCAGTGTTATAAACCGGAATGCACCATCCTTTACCTGAGTCCTTCACCGCACACGACGAGCATTTTACTCTGCTTGTCCGGGACAGCCTCTACAACACGGAGGGTAAATTCGTCATTGAACATTGTGAATTTCTGGCCCGTCCAAAGCCCAATGTAACCCAAATGTATCCATTTCTTCAGCAGCGTGATCGGCCCATTGTCTGTATCCTCAACGAAAAGTGGCACGTGCAAGGACCCTTTCACGCGTGACTTTTCTCTTTCCCAAACCGGCCTCACGTCTAATAGCACGTATCCTTCCGACGCCACCACCGTCTTCGCTTCTTTCGGCTCCACCGCCCGTACCTTGCCGGAAGTTATCAGTTCCTTACCGGAGACGGCGGAGATCACTGGTAATCTGTACGATTTACGGAGGCGTCGGTATTGTACTACCGGTGGATTGTGGATATGGTTAAGTCGAGGAAGAAGAAGTGTCATCTCTACTTTTTGGGGAGGGGGGGATTTTCTGATGGAATTTAACCAATGCTTGGTGAGGATTTTAATTTTGAGCCAATAATATTAAAACACCCCGAAAGTTTCTATTTATTTCCAAAGAAGTCCTCGGACTTTTCATAATTTGACGAGGACACATTTCAAAAGTAAAAATATCCTAATAGAGGAGACACTACGAAAAATTATAGGTGCTTAAATATTAGTAAAAATTATTAGAAATGTTTAATAACAAATATATGACAATAACGAATATGTGGTATATTAGAGAATTTTATTTAATAAATATAAAAAATATTTAAAAATATCTTATTTTATTTTAATAATACTAAATTTTTTTATCTGAGTCAAAAACGGTATTAAAATATTTAAAAACAAAAATTCATGATTATTTTTAATAAATAGGAGAAATGAAAAATAATAAAGATAAAATATATTTATGTTTGAATACATATCATTTTTGTGTGTTTATAAATATTCGAATACACGTCTAAATATTAAATTCGATTAAAATATATTTAATTATTTAATTTTACGTTTGAGGTGGATCAAAATCTAGTACTCCGTTAAATGTGAATTTCTTCCCTTTGAAACGACGCCGTGTCGTGATAAGGTTATATTGGTTCGTGCTCGGTTAACTTTGTAACCGAACCGATCAAGAACCCTTCTACTCTAAAATTCCGAACCGGTACGGCCATGATCTAGGTGAGTTTCAATT